CCGCTGAAGAGGGCGTTCTCCTCCTCTAACACGAGCACCAAGTGGTCAGTGGTGTGTCCGGGAGTGGCCACCACTCGAAGGGTCACCCCATCCGCAGACAACTTCTGTCCGTCACTCAAGTAATTCATTTTGAAGGCCGAAGAGTACTGTTTGTCGTGTTCTTCGCTACAAATCTTATATATTTTGCACTCTTTTCGCAATAAAACTCATTATTTATGAGACAATTCGTGTCAAAAAAGTTTATGAATACCAGTGTCTGAGAGGCGAAGTGTGTTGAGTACGTCCGCCACACCTCCGATGTGGTCGTGATGCCAGTGAGTGATCACTATTTGAGACAATTGGATGTCATTGTCATCGATGACTGTCTTGAGATTCGCCACATATTGAGGAATATTGGGTTCGCCGGTGTCTATGAGTAGACGCTTTCGACCCCTTCCCACCAGACTATTGAGTCAATTGATTAGACAATCAGTGGTACAGTAATGAGGAATAATAAAAGACATACTAAGTGTTGGTTCCCTGAAGTGTCATAAGACCGGGATTACAGCCCAAGACACGGGTAATGAGTGGACTTAGTTTAGTGACTTTCGGTATAATTGCACTCATTTTGGACACTATTTGTCAAAACAATTAAACTGATCCTGGTATTACTGATACAACAAATGACCGGTGGTGACAAGTGGTAGCTAACAATTGACTATGAATTAAAACTTAAAAAGTTTATCTCAAAATCATTGATAAGTTAAACAAACTTTTTGTTGGACTTAAAACTTTACAGTTAAATGTCAAAACATAGTCTATGGGGTGTTCATTGAAAACGCTTAGATAAACACATACTTTTGGTCCCCCATTATAACAGTTTAGTGCAAAATGAATGAGATTTATGCTATTTAATGGATGACCAATGACATTTTAGTACATTATGTATGAATGCATTTGTGATTTCATAATATATTTACAAAATAAAGTTTAAAAACCATAAAAATGTCTCAAATATTGATCACAAGATGTTTCGTAAGATTTCATTATTTTGTAAATTCAGTCAAATACCTGTCATTTGGGACACAAATCGTGCTAAAGTGTAGACTTTTAAACACATTGAAAGAGATCTCAAAGACTACTCTTAAGACAAAGCAATGTCTGTCGAGAAGTGATCATAAAGTGTCGACTAATACACCGAAGCATTTGTGGTAAGGATTTCTTTCAGATATCTTATGAATACTATATGACATGTCTTATGATAACCATTGAGGTGTTGGGATATAATCACTGGTCTATTGCTATGGTTGGGAGTCATCGAAGAGCCGGAAGACCCGCTGATATTAACCATAAAAAGAGGCGTTTATTGCATGAATTGTGAGGAGTATTCAAAGGCCGAACTCATCCTCCATTCGGCTCTTCAGATGTCTCAAGACATGGCCTCCGAGTCGGCGGAGATCTATGTGTTGGACGTGTTGGCCAACAACTACTTCAAGAGCGGGGACTATAAGAAAGCGGAACAACTGTTTGCAGTCGTCTTCAATAGGGTTTTGGGGAAAGGGATGCAATCAAACGACGAGTCAATTATCGAGATGTCTGTCAAATTGTCTCACATTTACAGCACTTCCGGAGAGACGGAAAAGTCTGAAATTGGTTTCGACTTCTGTCTCACAGAACAGACCAAACGAGTGGAAAGTTTTAGAGATAAGAGTTGCGATGATATGAGTCCCGAAGAGATGAATTCGATGGCACTGTTGGGGATGTGTTACGACTATTACGGCAAACACTTGTCATCATTGGGTCGTTTCGATAGAGCCATCGATAGTCTCAATAAAGCGATTGATATTTGTGTTAAGATTAATGGCTCAACGCATCCGCAGACTCTGGTTCTGTACAACGATTTGTCGGCCATTTATGTCCACAAAAAGGATTACCAAAAGGCAGTGATGTATCTGAAGAAAGCAATCGATGGCGCGGTTCTTACAGAAGACAAGAATTTAGCCAAATATTACCTAAACATAGGTTTTATACATTTGCTTCGCTTTGAGAAAGATTTAGCTCTCAATTCTTGCAGACAATCGCTATCTTTGGCTCTTCAGACCTCTAAAGACAAGACCATCGAAGGTATGGCTCGTAAGTGTATGATAGATGCCGGCAGTCAATGATTAGCTAATTATGCAGTGGTTTCTAGTCTTTAGTTTTGTTTGTTGTTTAATATGAGTTCAATGTTAACAATATTGTATTGTTCATGAATTCATTAAATAATAATTTAAAGAGTTATAAATTTTTAACATTAATTCTTAACATTGAAACATTCTACAGCATTTGAAACATTTTTCATTCATTCCTCATGCGATCAACAAATACTTAATAATATTACCCTAATATCAATTGAAAATATTTATTATTCTTAGAAATAAATATCATTAATTGTTACAAAAATTATATTTTTTTGAGATTAAGTTTTTGTGTTTACTTTCTTAAACACTTATCTTAACAGTGAATACATTGTCAATAATCAAAAAATACATTTATCCTTTAATGAAATGATTGTGTTTATGAAAAGCATAACAAAAATAATTAGTTGTATGAAAGATAACTGTAATAATAGTGTATATAATACCGGTGCAAATGAACAAATGAGTAGCAAATACTATAAATTACAAACAAAATAGAGTTTTTAAGTTTTTTGGGTATTAATGTACAGAACTTTGAACGTTATATAAGTCATAATAAGCGCCTCTTTTGGCAATCAATTCATGATGACTGCCCTCTTCGACTACCTTTCCCTTATTAACCACAACTATTTTGTCCGCATTGTGTATAGTGGAGAGACGGTGCGCGATCACTATACATGTCCGACCCTACCATACAATTGAAATTCATATCCACATTAGTTATTGATATAAGCATTGGATAGACAAAACAATGTTACCTCTCGTGCCTCATCCAGGGCATCCTGCACTACTTTTTCACTTTCCGAGTCGAGAGCACTGGTAGCCTCGTCGAGAAGCAGTATTTCTGGATCCCTAATGAGAGCTCTAGCGATGGCTATCCT